GAGTACCTGCAACAAACCTCAGTGGATCCCTGTTTTAAACATTTAGCATCTGGATTGTTCTTGCAGACACCATAGCAGTAAAATCTAAGAACAATTTATTGGCTCTCTAAATGCTATTAAATACTGATCTGCACTCTTGGGTTTCCCAGAACCACCTGTGCTCAGGACAATCCAGCATTCAATTTATATGAATATGTCTACACTATAAAGCTACAGCAGTTGGGTACCTCATTGACAGTCATGGCTCCATCTTGGAAATCCTGGAATTTGTAGTTTGGTAAAGTACTTTGAATTCCTCGCTAAATCATTCTAGTACAGGCACAAATCTGCTTTAAACATCTGTGCATTCCTTAACATATCCTAAAACCAAAAGTAAAGCAGCTAATACAAAAAATAGTTTCCTTCTTAATGAAGACTTTAAAGGTGTTTTTTTTTTTTTTAAAAAAAAACAAAACCAAAAACCAAAATCTGTGCATTACAGGCCTCCACCTTTTTGGTGTTGTTTTCTAGAAATATATTTAAAGGAGGAAGAGGGGAGGATGAAGGACTTTTGTCCCTCCTGATGTTTTTGATTTCTATTGCCAGAAGTCCCAAACAGTTCAACTAGTTGTAAAGGATTATGAGAGAGGCACCATTAAACACACAAAGGACTACACCTCTGGCATAGATAAAGATTACATGATTCTCACATGTCTTCTGTGAGAATTATATAAGTAAATCAGTTTGGTTGCTGAGGGCTTCAATCCCATGTCTTCCATTCAAAAAAGAAATGAAAGTTATCAGTCAAACTGGAGGGGGTAGAGGTTGGTTGAAGACTGCAAGGGATGTTTTACCCAATCCTGCTCTTCACTTATATTAACCATTTACCACATAACAATATTGCAAGCAATATTGTCCATTTGCTTTCACTGGATCCCTTGCAGGGAACTTTAGAGCAGGGAAGGCAGTGGTAGGAAGAACAGATGTGGACTCTTGGCCTGTCACAGTTAGTTTTTAGGGACAGATATGAAGGAAGAGGAAATAGATTGTGTGACGCTACAGAACATGAATTAAAATCTAAATGGGATACTCATATTTGCATAAAACAATTCCTCAGGCTTTTCTGTGTAAAGTTCTCAGGGAATGTGCGGCGAGGGGCTCTGGGGGAAGAACTATGCATTGACGGGTGTAGCTGAAGGCTACAAAGGGCACAGCCCATGCTCACTGTCTTTAATGGGAAACCCATATATTGATGTTAATGGAAGCTGGCTGCAACTGCTGGTGTGCTAGTTACCACTGCTGATGTGCTAGAAGGCTGCCGCTTTAACTTCTAGTTTGGATTACACATTGTTGTCACATAAGTACAGCTTTTAGAGCACCAGTGGTGTGTATTTCCCTTTCTTTTCCCTTTTAATCTAAAAGGCATCATAGATTCCCCCCACCTCTTTTTTCTTTTCCCGTCTCCTTTAGAATCACAGAAGGAGTTCGCTTGCAAATCTTCTAATAAGGCAATTACATGCAGACAAAGATTAGATCTTGTGGTACAATAGATTTGTGCTTCTTTTTTTAAATTCAGGATTTTATTTTTTTTTTGGTATTTCACTGTCACCAGACGAAAACTCTGAATAGTAATGTGACAAGTCTATTCAAGAGGCAACAATATGAATTCTCTTAATTGTGCTCACTTGTGTGCCACACAAACTGTCACTTAATTTTGTGTGTGCTTGTTTTGTGGGGAAGAAAAAGAAGCGGAAAGAAAATACTACTTAGACTTACTAAAAGTATTGTTGAATCACTGAAATCAACATTTTTAGCAAGCACAAAATTAGCATGGAGTATCTTCCGTGCAACCTTCCTTCGAGAGCTGTCCAGAAAGTTCAGATAATCCAAAAGAGGGAACCTGTGTTGCTAATCCAGAATGGCTGATATGGCTATATTATGCTAGTATTAGTATATTATGCGACCTGCACTGCCTCACAATACATTTCTGGGCCCATTCAGAAGAGTTAAATTGAATATTTTGGATCACATTCAGTCTCCACCTTTACCCCCTCGTCTACCAACATCTAAATTTTCTCTTGATTCCAAATCAAGAGAATGAAATGTGAGCTGTCTTAATTGGGGTACTGAGTGAAATTACCAATATGAAAATAGATATTGAAAAGAAGGTTTGTTTTTGCAGAATTGCAGGTGTTGGCTTTGTTGTTATATTCTGTATTGGATAATGAGCCAACTTAGAAAATGCAAAGTGGTATCTATAAGAAAGGGCTTTGTGTTGCTTTGCATTTAACATATTTGCATTTTTATATCTTATCAAAATAGTGTGGGTTTTGAGGTTGTGAAATGTATTTGAGGACATTATTATATGTTGGAGCAATTATGTTAGCATAATTCTTTTTATTTTGTTATATTCTGTATTGGATAATGAGCCAACTTAGAAAATGCAAAGTGGTATCTATAAGAAAGGGCTTTGTGTTGCTTTGCATTTAACATATTTGCATTTTTATATCTTATCAAAATAGTGTGGGTTTTGAGGTTGTGAAATGTATTTGAGGACATTATTATATGTTGGAGCAATTATGTTAGCATAATTCTTTTTATTATTTAAAATATTATTAATATAATGAAAACAAATGTTATTTTATTTTTGTACACAAGGTAAAACAGAAAATAAGTTGTATGGTATAAGCTTAAAACTCAATTTGCAGTCTAACATGTTCCTTTGAATTCAAGCCCCGTTGAGTTCAGAGAGACTTCCTCTTAGGAAAATGTGCATGAGATTGCATCCTTATAGTTGCTCTGTTTAAAGAATAATATTTTGCAGATAAAGAGATTAAAGTACCTTGTAAAATCCAGCTTCCTGTATCTGGATGCAGTGGGCAGTGGTATAGCAGATATAACCTGTTTATGCAGTGAAGATTTCAAATATAACTGTATTCTATTATTGTTATTATTTTGATCAGAAACACACATTTCCACCAGAGAGTTAAATCCAAACTAGACTACACCCAATGAAATAAATGAAGCTTAGATCATTTCTAACAGATTCCATTCATTTTAAATGGGTCTAACCCTAGTGGTAACTCAAACTAGATTTAGCCCAGAAAAAGGAAGAGATACACAGGTTCACTTCAATGGTTGCTTTTGCGTGTATCACAAAAGACCATCAGGTGAGACTGCTGAAGCAGACTGTTTAGGCCTGTCTTGCTCATTATTATCATTGTAAGCCTTCCACATAGGGGAATTGCTTCAGCAATCAGTGATCATTTTATTTCGTCAAGTCTTCACCTTTGCTAGCTCCAGGGTACCCTTTTTGAGACAGCAACCAGAACTGTACAAAGCCACACCATGGATTTGGTTAGATGCATGACAATATTGGTAATTTAATTTTTTGTTTTTATTTCCCTGTGAACTCACCCTAAGGAAAGTCCCACTTTCACAGCAGCTAATTCCAGGGTTGACAGTGTCATCACAGTACAAAGTTGTCTTGATCACTTGCAATTAGAGATGGGGACAAATTTAAAAAAATTGTGATTCGTTTTGATCCGTTATTCATCAAGGTTAATGGATCAATGAATACAAATATACGAATATTCTTTGACGAATCGATGAATTGATCCATCATTCATCTGCACTTTAAATGACTGTAACACTGGCCCCTAACCACTTAGAGATGCCAAGTATGCAGGGAAGCTTCCTCAGACGCTTGCCTACAACTCCTGAAAGTTTGGTGAACCTTGGATCATGGACCCCTGAGGTATATAGTCACAAAGAGGAACCCCTCAGGAAAGCTTCCCCCAGGTACTTAGAGATTCCAGAATCACAGCAGAACTTCTTATGTCTTTCGCCAACATGCCTGCCAACTTTGGTGAAGATTGGATATTGGACATCTGAATTATTCACCCACAAATTGGGTCCCCCCCAGGAGAGTTTACCACATAGCACAGAAGCCCATTCTGCCTACAGGCCGCTGATCAGCTGATCTGAAGCTGATAGGCAGCCACCCACAAATACACAGCCAGCCACCCCAACAGCCTACCCCACATCCCCTTCCTTTCCCTACCTTAGCCCCCACCCCACTCCCACCGACACCCCCTTACCTTAATAGCTGCTGCTGAGGTTTCCATCAGGACTTCACAGCCACGGTGTGTAAAAAGGGAAACTGGCTGCCCTTTGCAAAGATGGTGGCTGTGGTTTCATTTAGGGTAGGGAAGCTGCAGTTGCCATCTTTGCAAAGGGTAGTGTGGATTCCTCATGGTGCAGTGGTTAAACTGCTGTACTGCAGCCAAAACTGTGCTCACAACCTGGGGTTCAATCCCAGGTAGCCGGTTCAAGGTTGACTCAGCCTTCTATCCTTCTGAGGTCGGTAAAATGAGTACCCAGCTCGCTGGGGGGGCGGGCAATGTGTAACCTGCATAATTAACTTGTAAACTGCCCAGAGAGTGCTTGAAGCAGTATGGGGCGGTATATAAGCAGCATGCTTTGCTTTTGCTTTAAATGAAGCTGCAGCCACCATCTTTGCAAAGGGCAGCCAGTCTCCATTTTTACATGCATGGCTCTGAGGCCAGAAGACCTCAGCAGCAGTGATTAAGGTAAGAGGGTGTTGGTGGGGGTGGGGCCTAAGGTAGGGAAAGGAAGGCGGTGGCAGGGGAGGCTGTGGTGTTGGGTGGCTGTGCGGGGTGGTGGTGCCTTTCTGCAGAATGGCGTTTTTTTTAAAAAAATACAAAGGATGAATAAAAATGGGTAAATATTCATCCCTTCATATTAGTGGGGGGGTCTCTGGAACCCACAAATATGGATTGCTGAGTAAATATTTAATGAATTGGCTATATTCGTCAGAAAAAGCGATCCATTTTTACTGTATATTCGTCCCCATCTCTACTTGTAATCATAGATTCTTGTTGTGCATAATTCCTCCCAAGAACATTTCAACAGCTTGCAGCAAAATCCCATATTTCTAGACATTGTGACTGCTTTGGCTGCCACAATTAACTACGCCAATGCCATCCCACCCTCTTTAGGATAGAGGACACATGGACTACATGCTTCTCCTCCAGTATGGCCAATATGTCAGGCTGCTGCCTATGGATGTTGTTTTCATTGCACGTTTCTGGGTGGCAGAGATATCAGGTCCTGTCAAGGAGTCAAGAGCTAAAATTTGGTTCTCCAAACTAAAGCAAGGATGGGTAAGTTGACAAATTACAATATCCATGAATCCATACTGGGATGATATTTTGTTTAGGAGAGGCAAAGGGCACAAAAAGGGGTGCAAGGACACTTTACCAGACAAGATGTTACAAAAATATGTTATGGGGAGAAGACTTTATCTTAAGTTCTTGAGATCTGCAGGATGCTTTGAGATGCACTGGATGTTATGCAGATAATAATTGGGGATCCATCAGATGATACAGAGGTTTTAGGTTTCAACTAGGATAGATCATAGAGATGCTGGGAGTGGGAAGGTTAGATATATTTAGCGCTCCATCTTAGATTTGGACTCTTTGTGGTGTCTGGAGAAAAATCATTCAACTCTTTGTTTCTTCATGGCCCATACAAGTTGTTCCTATCAGTGAAATATTATTATTCCTTCTAACTGTGGATGCAGTTGTCCACCATAGTCATGTACTTTGTCTGAATGTTGATCTAGAGCACTGGTTCTCAACCTTGGCTTACTCAGGAGTTGTGGACTGCAACTCCCAAAAGCCTTCACCACCAACTGTGCTGGCTGGGGTTTCTGGGAGTTGCAGTTCTAAAACATCCGAGTAACAAAGGTTGGGAACCTAGGATCTAGAGCAAAGTCTTCCAGATTACTGAAATTACCCCTCTTTGTAGAATTTTTCATGAAACCATGAAGGTTCCCTGGAATAATAATACAGAGGTACCATGAACATGGTTCCAAAATCTCTTTGGTCTCTTCCATACCCCTTCCTTCATATGGTCATGCATCTACCCCCAAGCAAAGTCAGATTGTTCACTGGACATTTCCAGTGGTGTGTTTGCAGGCATAGGATAGGAAGGGGACAAGATAAGAATCGTCCAGTGTTATTGATGTGCCAGCTGAAAATGTTAACAAGTGCTATTCCATCCTGCTTTTTTTTAACAGAAGAAACCTGAGAAATTATTCAAATTCTGCTCATCTATTTTGTCTTAAAATTGTGCCATTTCTGACGTTGCTGGACAGGGACTTCATTGTTGAAGAGTTCAAGAAGAAAGAACTGATACTTATGTTTGAAGGTTTATTTAATTTGCATGGCATGGTTCCAATTCACCAAGAAAAAAGCCTTGAGAACAGCTGAACATCTGTTCTCAGGTACTTCCAATTGTGTCTATATTCTTCTTGGCTGCTTGCTAAGCAGACACAAACAAACACTCCCCCCCGAGTGCTTCAGGTAAGTTCTGATCTTGTTAAGAAGTTGTTCCCCAACAAGCAAATTATACCATTTTATTTTATTTTATTAGTGCTGTGGATCTTTGCCCTCCCTGCAGACCTTTATGTCATCTGAAAACTTGTTTTGGGGGTTTCTCACTCCTCAGGAGTAGGTCGGGGTCTGCAGTGAGGAGTGGAAGTATTGCTGGTCAAAATCTCAACCAACAGAAGAGGTCACAAAGTTGAAGTGCTGGGATTTTTTAACTAATAAGTACAAATACATCATTCTGCAACATTTCTCAAATGTGGCTGATAATATGTTTCCCTTTCACCTTCAGTTTTAGCTGTAATTCTCACAGTAGCTAGAGAGAACATGGATTTTTCCGGCAATACTGGCTAGAATCCTATTGGTCACACCCAGTGGTGTAACTCAGTGGGTATAAATCTTGGTGGTGAATTGCCCCAAGTTATGAAGTCAGCATAGGAGTCCCACAACTTAGCATGCAAGAGCAAATGCTAACTATGCCGACTTTTGAACTTAGGGCAATTCATCACTGAGATTAATCCTGTTTGCCTTCTGCCAGTGTAAAAACAATAGGATTCCAGCTGATAACATTGTTGCAAACTATCCCAGTTGCAGTGCAAAGCACTATGGGATGGTTTGCTCTTGAAAAGACATTGTACAGTATTTGCAAATGGACTGCTCCTGGAGGAGATAAAAACTGATAGAAATGATTTGTTTATACAGTAGGCTGCACTTTCTGAAGCCTTAATAATTGTGCATGCACACAGATGCACACATATCAATGACTTCAATGTTGAATGATTTGTATAGTTTGTGGAGATGACAGGCATCTTTCTCAATTCTTAAAGCAATGTCTCCTCAGTTAGTCAACATGCCTTTTGACTGCTAAGAATCCAATGTGCTCAAGGACCTTCTCTCAGCTCTGCTCTTGACTACAGTAGGACTGCAGTATTCATGGGAGATTGGTTCCAAGCCCCCTGTGGATGCCAAAAAGCATGCAAGTGTTGAACGCTATACAGTACATTGCATTGTGTCTGGCTCCCTCTAGTGGGCAATTCTGGTAAACTGAAGTTTTTTATTTAGTATTTTCAGGCAGTGGATAAATGAATCAGCGGATATTGATCCCATGGATAGGGGGCCCTGCTGCATTTTGTCCATCCTGGAATCATCTCTTTCAAATTGCCATGATAGAAGAAGTAATTGTTTCTTTTTTTCCTGAGAAAAGGGATGATAAGCAGCAAGAGGACTCCAAAGTTCAGGATGCCATCCGGTACTAAAAGATGGGGTTCTCTTTAGATCCTATGAAATACTGACATAAATGTCATATAGCCTTTTTCTGTACTTTATTTAAAAAATGAGAAAGCATTCTTCCATAGTATGAAGCCACGAAGGTGTGTTGAGCAGCAGCCTCCATCATCTCCTGTCATCATGGCCATAAGTTTCATGATGGGGGTTGCGATCCAACTTCTGCAAGTTACTGTTTTGGGGAAGGATGGTCTGAAATGTCATCATATCACTGAAAGACCATCTAAGAAGAACCCTGCGGGATCAGGTCAAAGGCTTATATATCCGAACATAGTGTTGCCCACATTAGATAGACAGACCTCTAGGAAGCCCATAATCAGGACGTGGTAACAAGAGCTTTCTCTCATGAGTTGTTCTCCAGCAACTAGTATCCAAAGACACATAGCTTTTGACTACAGAGCAATGGCTCCCAATCTTGGGTCCCCAGATAATCCTTAACTAAAACTCAGAAGCTGTGCTGGTCAGAATTTCTGAGATTTGTAGACCAAGTCCAGTAACAAGATGGTGCTGGTAGTGGGCGGTTAGCGCTTACCTCCGCCGCGCCGGCTTGCCTCTTGTGCTTTTCACAGCTTTTTTCTTTCTTTTTTCTTTTTTCTTTTTTCTCTCTCTCTCCCCCTCCTCTCCAGTCCCTCTCCTCGCCCTTTGCTTGCTGGGTGCCGGATTGAGCGCGGGGTCCACGGGGCTGGAGCCAGAGCTAACACACGGGGCCGGGGTGAGGCTTGATCTGAGCCTCCCGGCTTCCGCGGAGCTTGGACGCTCGGGCAGTCTCGCGGCCTGCAGGAGGTGGCGTTCGGGTGCTTTCTGTGCTGCTGGGGGTCCAGGCTTTATGATTGCCGGGAAGCTGCACTGCCGGGGGAACGGGCCCGCCACCCAGGTCAATGATGGAGCCCTCCCAGGAGGAGAAAGACCAGATCCTGGTTGCTCGGTGCCCCCCCTCCCTGATGATCTTCGCTCCGACCGCATAATTGAGGTCGGAGCCTGGAGCCTGGAGCCTGGGCTGCTGAGTTTTCTGTGGCTAATGGTGGGGACTGTGACATCCAGGAGCGCTGCGGGTCTCGGGACGCTGTGGCAGAGAAGCGGATTATCCGCGGCTAGCTGGTGGAAGGAGGATTCTCAATGAGAGCTGACCTGCTGGGCGGTCGCCATGTTGGGCTCTCTGCGGCCAGCTTCTTCCCCAGTTTTGGACTGCTCATCCTGCCCTTCCTGGACTAACTGCAAAAACACCTTGCCATCTCCTCAAGGAAGGGAAAAGGGGAAGCCAGGGACTAACTATCTTTTTGCCTGGACTCTGCTGTCCCCGACGCTGCCTGCCCTATCTATTTTGATGCAACTCGTGAGTAACACCCTCACTTCGGCATTTCCTCTGGATTTAATATCAACTCAGACAACCTTTGAAAATATATTAACACCACTAAGAACATCAAGACCAGCAAAGCTTAAAAAGACAAGGTTGTCAGGCGGTTGGAGGATGGACTTGGAGGATGGGGGGGGTAATGCTCTTGCTATTCTATTTTATGTTATTTTATTTTAATTTAATTTAAATTAACTTATTTGTATTATGCTTATAATTTTGCATTATAACGTATTGTTTGTATTTTGTTAAGTTTTAATATTATTTGTATTATTATTATTATTATTTTCCTTTTCTCTTTCCTCTGTCTGGCATGGAGTGGGAGGCCTGTGCACTCAGCGAGGGGCCTTTTAACATCCCGGTGGTCATGGGTAGAGGGCGATATGGCATTGGTACAGTCCCTGCTCGTGTTAGTAGAACAGTGAACAGATGTCTGAAGGCTGTTCACTGTTCTGAGACTGTGGCCAATCCTCAATATCGAGGTAGCCAGTTCAGCCAGCCTTCCACTCTAACCTTGGTGCTGTTGAATGCCAGGTCTGTATCCAACAAACCGCAGGTGATTCAAGATCTTATCCTGGAGGAGGATGCAGACCTGGCATGCATAACCGAGACGTGGCTTAACGGGGAGGGTGGCCCTCCCCTGGCTCTCATCTGCCCGCCCAGTTATGATGTCCAGCACCAGGGTAGACTGGAAGGACGGGGTGGGGGAGTAGCCATTGTTTATAAATCCAGCTTGGAGGTTACCAGGCGCTCCTCGGTGGTAAGGCCGGGTCTAGAGGCACTCCACGTGTTGATAGAGGCCAGGGATGGAATTGAGATCTTGCTGGGCTACCGTGCCCCCTGCGGCCCAGCCACCTCCCTTCCGGAGCTGGCCGACTTTGTCTCCGCAGCACTGTTTGGGATCCCCGAGGCTCTTGGTCTTCGGCGATTTCAATGTGCATGCGGAGGCAGAGGTTACTGGGCCAGCTCTTGAGTTCTTGGAAACCATGGCTTCCTTGAACATGTCCCAGCATGTCAACGGCCCCACCCACGAGGGTGGTCACACTTTGGACCTGGTCTTTTCCTCCAATTGGGGCGAGAGTGGTCTGATGGTGACGGACCTTGCGTCAGTCCCCTTGTCATGGTCAGATCACCATCTGATTAAATGTAACCTCACAGTGGCCCTCCCCCCCGCAGGAAGCAGGGGCCTATTTCTATGGTCCGCCCTCGAAGACTACTGGATCCGATTGGCTTCCAGGATGCCATGAGAGGGATTACGGCTGACTTGGCTAGCGCTCCTGTCAATGCCCTGGTGGATAGCTGGTTCACCGCTGCCACCAGAGCAGTAGACATGATCGCGCCCAAACGCCCTCTCCGGCGCAGAACTCG